TAAAAACACAACACTCTCACCTGCTACTTGGATTTTAAAAACCAGCTTCTCAGATCCAGCCTCGCAGATGTAGTCTCCAGCGTCTTTCCTCTCCACACTGTCAATCACCAGCTGACGACTCTTGCCTTTTGATTCAGCGTGGATTGTTTTGCTGGATGTCAGGAGCTTGTTATCCTTGTACCACTTTGCCTCAATCTTGGTGTCAGCTACCTCACAGCTCAAGACAGCTTTCTGGGAGAGAGTAGCTTTCACTTCCCTCTGAACCAACTCCTTGTTGCAGAAGACTGACTCAGCCTCTGAAAGTAAAGTCAGTGATGAATACACAGCTGTCATCACCAACAGACAGACAACGTGATCACAAACATAAAGGTGTTTAGAAATTTAGTAAATTTCTTTATTTTATATATTAAGAAATGTTATTTATTTTAACATTTTACATATACTGTTCCAACTCTGAACGAGAAAATTAAAGGAAGGCATAGCATTTCAAATGAACCAATCAAGCATTTTTACCGGAAATGATGATTTTGAAGGTCAGCTTATCTCCTCCAGCCTCACAGGTGTATTCACCAGCATCACTCTTCTCCACCTTTTCAATCACCAGCTGACGAGTACCGCCCTTTACCTCTGAGTAAATCCTCCTACTCGACTCCAACAACTTGCCTTCCCTGTACCATTTCACCTCTGTCTTGCTGTCAGTCACATCACAGCTAAGACTTGCTTTCTGGGAAAGAATGGCTTTGACCTCCTTCTGAACTGACTCTTTGTTGGAGAATGCAGCCACTGCTTGGGTTTCTAACAATTAAAAAAAAGCAACAATAAAAGTTTATTCAAATAATGTAACCGCCAGAGAGGAAGAAGTTAAGCCTACATCTACTAAAGAATTGCCATCTAGCTTTACCTTTTATCTTGACATGGAATGTGACTTTATCACCTGCTGTCTCGCAGGAATAATATCCTTCATCACTTTTCTTGGCACCCTTAATGACGAGCTTCCTTTGAGTCCCTTTGGAGATAATAGCAGTTCTTTGGTCCTCATTAATCTCTACTTTATCCTTTTTCCACACAACGACAGCGCTCGCTAGAGACACCTCACAGCTCAGCTCAAGGTCTCCTTTAAGAGACGATGATAATCCCATGGGACCTCTGGCTTTATTTATAAATTTGGCAGGTTCATCTGAGAAAAAAAAGAAAAGAAAGGAAGACCAGTAAAGTTATCATTTGTGAAATCAAAGACTGTTTTTTTTCCTTTGAGGATGAAAGTACTTTAAAAAAACAACAGTTGCCTCTGCTCCACAAACTCAACTTTAAAACAGTACCTAGTTGTTTTAATTTTTACCTTTAAGGGCAAGCTGTATGGACATCCTATCATCAGCCAAAGCACACTCATAAATGCCCACATCTTCCTCCGTAACATTGTGTACCATCAGGATCCTCTTGCGATCTTGTAGCACATATTCATACTTCTTGCCCATTTTCAGCTCCCTCCCATTTTTCAACCAGGTCACCTGAAGAACCAAATGCAGAAACGTTTAGGAAAGCATGAGTGACAAAGTGCTGATATGATGTCACTGAGGTTTTAAAGAGTAAAAACACAATTTTTGAGCTTCTAGTACCCCCAGGTGCTGCCAATCAGGTGCCTGGTACAAGATTTATTGCCAAGATTTACTGAGGCCTCCGTGAACACACTCAAATGTTTGCAGTTAGTTGCTTTGGAGCTACATGTTCAATATTTTTCACCATAATTGTATTTCTGGAGGCTGAATTGCTCACAATTTGACAACAAGGTGCAACTGCAGGGTATATTTGAAAGCTGACTGATAAAGTGTATGCGTCTTTGCAAAAATAAATAAAATGCAGAACATGTTTTAGAGCCATTCCGATGCAGCTGTAAATAGTACTGCAATTTAAGCAACRCCACCAAAACCACCAAAAAGTGACGCTCTTATCAAACCGATATGCTTTAAAGTTCAGTTATGTTAGCAAAATCTGAGATCAAAAAAAATGAAGAGGAAATGTGATTCTGTCACAAACCTGTGCGTCATAATCTGACACCTCAGCAGCCAGCTGAGCAGTGTCCTGGGCACTGCAGGTCACGACCTCTGCATGATCTGACTTGTTGATGAACCTAACAAAAGGAGCTAAAAACAAACCTTTATGCTCAGATGCAATAATTTGCTTGCATAACACACACAAAAAAATTGTCAACACAGAAAATGCAAAAAATAAAAAAAGGATTATACCCTTCACAGTTAGGGTGCAGCTGCTCTGTGAACCTCCACCAACAAATCTGACTTCAGCGCCGTTCATTTCCATGGTCACGACACGGATGAGCAGTGTGTGTGTGGTCTTTGACCTGGTGATGAGGTAGTCAGCGCCACTACGTAAGAGGCGCCCATTGAGGGACCAGAAGCCTGAGCACACAGCAGACAGCTCTAAGGAGATCGAGAATTCCTCCCCGGTTATTGCARTGCTGTTCATTAGGCCTTTCTTGATTTCTGCAGTGGGTTCTGAACAATAAAAATAAAAAGGACAAAAAAAGAAATAAAAAAGGGATTAAAAGAAGACCAACCAAAGAAGTAGATCTGAAAAAGGGTATCTCAATCTTACCAAGATAAAAGCTTCCAGGTACATCCAGATAGGGACTCTGGCCGAAGTCRTTCATGGCAGAGATTCGGAACTGGTAGCTAGCTTCCTCAGCAAAGCTACAAACGGTGATTTCTGTTGAAGTAAGAGATTCTCCAGCATTGCACCTCTGCCACGTCGTAGCACCAACTTTCCTCCTCTCCACAATGTAGCCTTTGATGGGCACAGGACGGTCACTGTCAGGAGGGGACCACTGAATGGTGATGGACGAGTCTGTCTTGTTCTTCACCACAGCATCGACGGGGGGATCGGGCGGATGCTTTCGAGCAGCTGGAGTGGAAAACATAAACATTAAGTGCAAGTTTATCTCTTTTGTTTTACATACTATTTTGCTTTTGCTTCCTTTATTTTATACTTTGCATTRAAAAAGTAAGAATAAAGGAACTTGTAAGCATGTGACAAAAGTTAGGATGACTCCAGAACTGTTTAAAACACACTGACAAACCAGTGACAGTGAATCTTGTGGAAGTCTTGCAGTCGCCGGCCACAAAGGCCACTTCTCCTGAGTCGTCTGCCTGGCAGTTTTTAATGGTGAGCGTGTACTGTCTGATCACGCAGGCGATGGAAATACGAGAATCTTCCTTCAGCTTCTCGCCGTTGCGGGTCCAGTAGGCATCTGAGCAAGGATGCTCCAGCTCGACACAGAAGATGACAGTGTCGCTGACAGGAACYACTGTCCTCCGAGGAAGCTTCTTGGTGATATTGCCTGGGAAACGTGGGTAAAGAAACATCRTATAGCAATATTTTGTAGCATAGAAAAAAATATTTTAAGCATAGGATGGCAGGAACTACTGTTGTAATATTGCAATCTCAATAGGAACTACGGTGACAAAGTGTTGCATTAAGAGTTACAGTGAAAAACTGCTTCGGGACAAAATATCATTAAACGTTTTCAATCTTAAACAAGATGCTCATACCAAGGACTGTGAGCTCAGCCACAGTGCGGCTGCCTTCTTTCATCTCGCAGATGTAAACGCCATCGTCATTAGTGGTGACGTTGTGTATGGTCAGACTCCGCAGGGTGCCGTCCTCCTCCATGCGATATTTGCTGTTCTGCTCCAGACGTGTTTCCTCCATGAACCAGCTGGCCTGTGTGGCGACGTAAGGCACCTCGCACAGGAGCAAGGCTGAGGTTTTCTCTTGGACCTCCACATCCTGCAGCTTCTTCTTGAAAGGCAATTTAGGCTCTAACACAGAAAAGATAACATGATTTTTTTGATTATTGTCTGAATTGATTTCAATATGTTAATTTATCTGCCATAAGCTGTGACCTCACTTTAATGAAGTTTCTGCAGTAACAAGACTGTTAAAAGGTAGATTTGTCTTTGGATAGCRGAAAACAGAAAAAAAAAACATGTCAACCAAAATAATGAAATAGTTTCAATGTATTTAAAAGCCATGGAATGATGTCACAAAATGTTTTGCAAATTGTGTCAGTTTACATGACTTTAATTTATGAGAACAAAACTTGCCATCTTGCCTATTGATGGGTACATATTAATATTCATATTACAAGTTTCTCCTTTTTCTGTGATCTAACGTTCATCAGTCCATTGTGATTACTCAAGAYATGAACCAGAATAAGTTTAAAGTAATGTGTGCACAAGAAAAGGCCAGAAAATAAAAACCCAAAAAATGTGGTGTGGAAAATGTGGCATAATGTTGAGAATGGTGACTAAAGCTTCCTGATGGTTGTGTTTGTGATAAGCAATGTTTAGGGATGAAAATGCCAATTTTACCTGCAGAAAATGCTTATAATATTTACTATTATGCTCACACTGATCCACCAATCCTCTTTGTATTTTACTACAGAGCTGGATGGAAATGCCTGAAAATAGCCTAAATAAAATCCTGCAGACACTGGTTATGTTATAAACTACTTCTTCTCTGCATCCCTTGAAGTGCAGAATCCTCAGTGTGTCCATGTTAAATATACAAAAAGTGAAAAAAAATAAAAAAATTTCTTTTCAATGTACTAATGTCTGAAGATAAACAAAAAATGTTTTCAGCTAAACATTTAGGGGGATTTTTTAAGTTTACTTATGAAATATAGTATTTTATAGAATACATTTAAAAATTACATTTTGTTTATGTTTTTAATGCAATAAAGTTAGCGATAGCAATTGCATTCATTCAATTTTTTATACGTAAGCAAAGAAAAAAATGTAGTGACAGATTAGTTTACCATATTTATATTTTTTTCTTTAATTACTGTGTATGTATAAAAAACAATAGGTAGCAATCTTCAAATCATTTACAATTTAGAAACTAACAAAGTGCAAAAAATGAAAAATATCCATACTTTTTCAATGAACAGCTATGTGGGAGAGGGTTGCCTACCCGTGAGAGAAAGGTTGAATTATGACCTAAAGGGCCTCTCATAGTCATCAGTGGCTCCTCACTCGTTAGACAGAATGGGGATTACGAGCAATCAAGCAGTAAATAAATGACAAACATAAGTTGTCAAAGTGTTCCACCTTCTGGGCCAATTTGCTCCCAGAGGAAGTCACACTCACAGTGTGGCAACATGATAGGGAGTGAAGGAGCATTCATCTAAGCAACTCTGAGCTACTCGTCATCAGCAGAAAATAGATGCAACGCAATACCTCAGTTCAGCGCGTTAGACTGGGCTTAACCTTGTTGTGAAAGGCCAAACACATTTTGAGAAATTCTGAGGGAGCCAAACGAGACTTAAACATGGTGATTACAGTTACACTTGGACCAAAACCATAAAAGTCAGTATTATCCCTTTAAAATATATGATAGTAATCTAAAGAAAAAATGAGAGTGAAAAGTTCGTTAAAAAATAAGAAATAAAAATGTTAGACTACTCTCATTTATGGAAGCCGAGAGCAGCAAAACAATTTTTGTTCATAGTTTTCTCGAAATAACAACATAATTGTTTCGTTCTCATGAAATAACGATCAGCGTTTTCTCGAGATAACGGGTTAATTCATGCGGAAAACGTCCACTCTCAACTTCCATACTCATTAGATAAACAGTCTAAAAGCTTACCTTTGACTGTCACCAACACAGCGCTGTAGGTCTGCCCAGCCATGTTGGTTGCGTTGCAGGTGTAAAGACCATTGTCGGTCTGCTTGCAGTACAAGATCTTGAGGATGAAGTTCTCAGCGTGGTCTTCATAAATGACGTGCCTGCGGCCCTCACTGATGTTTGTCCCATCTTTCCTCCAGATAATGTGTGGTTTGGGGTGACCGGTCACAAAACAGCTCAGTTTGGCGTGTTTGCCCTCAGTCACTGTGCAGGTTCGGGTAAAAACACCTTTAGGGAGCTTAGCCAGCGCTGACGCCCTCAGCTCGTGTTCCAGACTCAGAGAACTCAAGGCATCAGTCTTGTTGGCTGTGGAGGACCTGCTTTCCTCGGTGCGATAGATAGAAAYATCCTTCTTCATTTCCTCTTTGCGTTTTTGCATGTGAGAGAGGAGAGAGGTGCTCTTGTCTGCAGCCGTCCGGCGAGCATCCTGAGCGTCCACGACGAGAGCTGCTGCAGCTTGGGCACGGCCTACAGAGTTCTGGGCCCTGCAGCTGTAGGTGCCGGCGTCCAGGTTGCGCACACTTTGGATCTTTAAGGTGCTGCTGTCAGTGTCAGAAACAATCTTGATGCGGTTAGTCTCCCCCAGGTAGCGTCCATCCTTCTCCCACTCAAAGTTGGCCTCGGGGTGAGCTGCAACCCTGCACTGGAAAACAACATCGCCCCCCAAACCTACACGAGTGGACGTAGGTTTCACCATGAACACAGGGGCCCTCTGACACAGCTCGGTTGGCAGGGCCACTTTAAGGGTCACGGCAGCGTAGGCTTCGCCAAYGTTGTTTTTAGCTCGGCACATGTACTGACCACTGTCCTCCAGCGTTAAGTCGTAGATGGTCAGGCGGTACACATCTCCATCCTCCACAGTTTTAAAACGCCCTCCAGATGCCAGCTTTAGCTTATCCTTTTCCCAGGTGATAAGTGGGGTGGGGTTCCCCACAACTGTGCAGCTGAGGGTGGCATCCTTGCCTGCACACACTGAGAACGCCTTAGGGCGGGTGAGAAACCGGGGGGCTCCTCCAAACATGTTTTGATCCATTTTTTTGCCCCTGCAATGAAAATTGAGCAATATTTAAAATCATAATAGAGTTAAAAAAGAAAAGTGAGGCTGGAAAATAAATTGAAAATGTATCATTACAAAATCCTTGAGCACAATATCAATATCGCAAAGGACTGCTTAGATTGCAATAACTCATAGAACATTATATTTCAAGTATCGTGCATTCATGCTCTACATGCTTACATTAYATTTGGTCCATCCAGTGGACCTGTTTTAGTTGAAAGGGAACACAGAAGATAAGTGGGGATAAGTATTTTTCCATTTTGGTTATTGGTCCGTTATTTTGTGCTCTGTGTTTCCCCTCATGCCATCAGTCAGTTTCTGTCCCTTTGTCTCCTCTGTCTTTCCATTCAGTCTGCCACATCCAGCTACAGCTGTTCTCTGTTTCACGTCACAGCTGCAGCCACTTCCCTCATTAACCTCAGCATTGTTATTCCTTCAGTTCTCTCTCCTTCTTCAGTGGAACATTGAGTGTTATCACACCATGTCCTGTTCCCCTCGTGCCTCCTCCAGTCTCCTTGTGCCTCTCTGTGTTTAAATCGTTGATTTTTTTCTGTCATTTTTGTTTGATTTTATAAAAAAAAAGTTCTGTTTTATATTTAACCTCCTTAAGTTGGTCTACATTCTTTCATCCAAACCTCTACAAACTGTGACATGCAACTAATGAAACATTTGGCTAATTTCTCCATGAAAAGAATATTAAGGAGGAGCTCCAGAGCAATTATCATTACAATCAAGAGAGGTATGAAAATGGTGAAGCAATAAGGAGCCATTATTTATATTACACAGACTGATGAAGAATGTTAAGAGATATTCTGAAGTACATTTTATTGATAAAAATTTAATGGCAACTTTTATCTTTTATCTCAAATGTTTAGGAAATTACTAACTGAGATTCAAATACCAGGTAAATAAAATTAAAATATTTATATAGCTGACAAAAACTACATTTGGTGCAAAATGAGCACAAYGTGCATAAATACAGACATATATTTTACGATTATACTCAATTCAAGAAGTTTTAAAACAACAGAAACTCATAATGCATAAATAATAGATTTTTTTAAACAGTCGTCAAAAAAAGTATTTTGGTTCATTGCATTCAAACTACCCACTCAATAAATTAAAAGCAGTTATAGCTACTGTACATGTACAATTTTACTGTTTCCTGTGTGTACTTTTCAAATATGTCGCTCTATGAAAATAGACATAAAACCAGATCTCAGTTTGACATATTTATAGAAGGCAGCTACAGTAACAAATCAACTGTTCTGACACACTGCACACATTTGTCAAGTCCATCCAATAAAAAGGTCAGTTATTAACACAATAACAAACAAATTCCTCTGTAACAAGGTCATACGGAGAATATATATGCCTTTCAAAGTCTGACATTTGACAGCTTTTGTCACCTCAGTTGCTCGGACTGCATGTCCCAAAAATAACCTCAGCTGTCTGAGCCCATCTCTGTTCATTGCCATTTGTAGAAATGGAGAGTCRTTAGATAAGACTCCCTCTTCAGAAATATACCTTATTTCTAGCATTGTTTACTTTTTTATCTGCCACGAGAAGCTTCTGCAGTGTCATAAAAGAACAGGACAAGCACATCGTGGTTGAAAAAAAACATGCAAAACTGACCAAAAATGTGTCGAAATAATAGAATAAACACACTTTACTATTTGTAACCATACAGGTGACAAAGTATAGTAATTTGTTACCAATAGAATAAATAAGGCAAAGTTTAAACAATGTGCTCTATGAGTACTGTTTCATAATGCAGAATTTTTTTTAATTTCTACAAGTAATATTCCTTATTCACCTTGACTTGAGTCTTCAGCCTCTCAGGTAAAGGTCTKTTCAGTCATGAGACGATCACTCGGCCATTTAAGTTTCCAAATGTTTTACCCCAGTCCAAAATCAGTAAAAAAAATCTACTTAAAATGGTCTTTTTTGCGCTCAAGTATCCTTGAAAATGTAATAAATCCAAGATGATGATGGAGCTCCCCCAGTCTCCTTTGGTGGGCCGTTGACAAGACTTTTTTTCCTCCCCTTTCTTCTCTGGTAGCTCATGATGCCACATAGCTGACGTGCTCAGTTTGGTGCAGCCTCCTTTTCTAAAATAGACCTGTTATTTGCAGGGCAGATAGGAGATAGCCCTGATGGACAGTCCAGGCCTCAGCTGCAGRCTGAACACACATCACAGTTTAACAAATCAGAACATTATGTGTTCTTCAGCTTCAGAGTRACAGCTTTCAGCAAGTCATAACCAAGTTAAATAACTTGGGTGGTATAAATCAGTGCTARTTAAAAAACAATTTCTAAACTCTTTTTTTCTTCTTTGCTTGKGGTGCCAAAAATCCAAAATAATTTAACTAAATGTATATAAGTTAGGGRTGCACTGATATGAAAATTTCAGCCTRTGTCGATATCTGATATAATTATTGCTGTTATGGCTGAYAACCGATATTTATTGATATTACACAAACACACAAATTATACTATACATATATGCACAAACACACTTGGGTCTTTTCTTGATACCGTGAATAAACGACCAGACCTTTGACATAGCTTCCACTTCAGTTATTCATGTCTGCACAGCGTAAATATCACTATCATGATCAAACAGATGCCGCTCAACCAACCATCTCCCCTCCCAAAACAGAAACACAAAGMTAAAAAGTGGGAAATCAATATCGGATGTTAATATCGGACCGATACAGATATATGAATGCCAATACTGTATATCGTGCATCCCTAATATAAGTGTTGATTGTATAATATATGTGTTGTAATTACAATCTGAATTGGGTTCTTTTCAGTTTAAACTCAGTTTATACAACATGTGCTGCTGACCCTGTTTGACTGCTGCTTTAAAAACTTAAGTTGCAGTCACAAAAACACATAATGCATGATTTGGTTGAAAGTTTGAGTGTAGTCACATGGTGGGCTGGGGTATGTTGTTTTTCTGCAGTCATTGTGACAGCTGCACGGTGCATGTCAGGCTCATAATAAGTTATGACTTCATGCAGAGTAACGACCTAAAATCCACCCCCCACCCCCCCCAAAAAAAAAAAAAGACAACAAAAAGACTTAAATCCAAGATAAACTTTTTGACTCCTTCAATGTTAGCGTTTAATGAAACAAGAATAGCTTCAAGTTGTTGGCTTTTAAAAACACAATTTTCTTCCTGTAAATTCCATTTGCATTTAKTTCATGGTTGACTTCAGCATCCAAAACAATGCATGGTTTCATCCTTATTCTCTRGCTTCTGCTATACTTGGTCGGTCTGCAGTGCGGGCTTTCCCCCAGTGCCAGTGAGTGACAGCAGCAGGTCGCCTGGACCCTGATTTAAACTGCCCGAAACTTTAGCAGACACTAATCTACTGTTGCTGTTCCTCTCTGCTTCATCCTGTGCTGGCTGCTGGCTTTAGTTTCCATGACCCCAAGTGGAAGTTCTATGCAAACTTAGATTTAGACCCAAAGTGGATTTTTTAAACCTAATTTCTTAATGCAGACACTTTGCTCAGTACATCATTCATATTTTCTAGAGCTTTTAGTGTTGAAGATCCCTCTTTGGCAGTAAATAGGCTCTCTTGTTGACTAAAGCACAACAGGCCAGATGGGAGTAAACAAACTCCCCTGTTAAAGCTTTCATTGAGAGTTTTTAAAATAAAATGGATGCAATGTTTACCTTCCAGTGTGAACCATACTCTTCCACCTGACCTCCCATACATTTCAGGAGTAAGGTCGTGGTTGTATCATGTTTGACACTTGAGAGTTTTGGGCCTGTAAACATGATACAAATGTCGTTTATAAAAAAAAAAAAAATACAAAGAATGACCAGCAGATGGCGCACACATCTACCTTTTGCGTGAGGAATTTTGCATGTACATAGTCACAGATAACCAAATTATTTTTATTATATTGTTTTATTTGTTATTTGTTTCAGAATAAACCACACATAAAAACAATTAACACTCAAAATAAGATTTATTAGTCTCTATTCACACACAAATAAAAACACATAACAAAACTGTGCTGAAAACAAGTTGTTTTGGCATGTTTCCTTTGTCAGTTAATGCCTAATGTACAGATGAAACKCAAACTTGGAAAGAAAAACAAAACATACTGCAAACGCAACCAGATTCACCATCTCAGGATGAAAACTTAGCACCTTATTCCAGTCACAGTGATTATTTGACTGGTGTGTAGTGATACAAAAACAAACTATTGTATGATGGCCTAATAAAAGTCAAACTCCCACCTCTTTAGGTTATTTTTTTTATGACAGTGCAATCCCAGACAACAGGAATAGAAGCAAAAATGCTGCCTGACGCAAAAACTGATACAAGTGCTCAACATTATTTAGCAATTTATCTCATAACCCACAACGCATTTGATGCTACATCCAGAATCAAATACAATGTCAAATGTTTGTGCTAAGTCTATAAAAGAAGATTTGATGCTTTAGATGAGACAGCTTCTAAAAGAGCAAAAACAATTATTACTAAGGCACTGAAAATGATTAATGGCTAACAATGAACCCTAAATGGGGGCGAATTTGGAGACTGTTTAAACTGTCCATAAAGTGTGGGCTCCAGTGTTTTTACAATATAAAGAAACAGAAATACACATCGACTGCAAAACCCATGGGAGCTCATTCAGGTGTGTGACAGAAACAGACATCTTCATATCAACATTGATCATTTGACAGGCCACAGTGTTTGTTGGGATTTGTTTACATTGCATGCTAACGCTTATATACAAATGATTCAACATCATGTAGCTGGGCATTGTTTTTTTTTTTTCCTTTTTTTTTTGGAAAGATTCAAATTAAAGCAAAAAGCCAGGTGGGACATTTAATAAAGTATTGCTCAAACCAATAAAATGCTTTTTTTTTTCAAATAAATAATACATATAAACCTTTTACTGGTTACATAAACGGGAAAAGACAAGTCAATTTTCTTAAAGCTAATAAACGATGGTGGCTTTCCCCCTCTTCATGCCCTTCTTTACAAGAAAAAAAAAACAGTTTAAAGCAACTGCAATTTTAAAAGCAATCCGATTCAAAGACAATGGTCAGATATAAGCCCCTCTGTTCTATTTTCATGATAAGTTTGTAAATAATAATAATAAAGTGAGAAAAAAGCGCAATAAAGATTTGCAGACGCAATACCATCCTGGTTTGTTAAAAAAAATGCTAATGCTGATTTATTTATTTATTAGTTTCTGCTGAGTTAGAAAATATGGAAGTAAAATACCACAAAAATTCAAATGCAGCTAAAAGATGCATCTGTCAATTGCAAAAAAAAAACTATATATAATATTTACACACAAACCTTTACACTGCAGAGGTATTGTTTGAGAATGAGTTTATCTTCACCACCATTGAGGTAATAAGTATAGCTGGTATTTAAATACTTCTTTCTATGCAGTGTGAAGCCATAAAGCTGACCTTATGTTCAGCTTCAATAGACTTAACAGGCATCTTCTGTCTGCATTTGAAATTTTGTTGGTAAGAGTATTCGGTGTTCATTTCTCTTTTCCGTCTGAAGAAAAGCAAAGGATCACCTACAATAGTAATACTGAGCGAAACCTGTAGGAGCAACAAAATACAGGCAGTTTATTTCAGTCCTATTATCTGACAACATAGTAGTATGTATTATATAGGCAGCGTTTTATTCTATCAATAGTTGGTATTTTTTTCTCGAGAATTAAATTTGGTAGTAAAAAAGTGACCATTTTAACCATAAATAGGATGCAGAATGTATTTACATCAAACGCACGTTGCCCTATTGTTTTTTTTTTTCTTCCAGATCATCAAATCTGATCAGATAGATATAACATGCAGTCTTTGTGTTTTCGAACAAAGATGTRTTGGGTGGGGGCTTGAAAAATCCTGTGATGCACAAATACTTGAAGAATCACACACACAGAAGCACGGCAGAGGCTGTGATGAGGCAAGTATTCCAATGTAAACAAAAAGAAAAGAAAAAAGACGTCATAGGTCATCACACTGTCTATCCACCAAATGAGTTTTATGTGTCTTTGCGGTTTGTACAAGTTAATGATACAATAGGATAAACTGGACGGAAGACATATGGTTTCCCTGATGACACAAGTCTGCCTTATATGACAGGATGAGACGTGGAGACAGTGGTTATTCATCAACAAACCCCTCCTGCAACGAACTCTGTGTGATGTTTTAAAGGTCCATGCCTGAACTCTCCATGACGATCATCTAAGGCCACAATGTTCAGTGAAGAAAGAAAAATGTAAACGCTTTAAAGGGGGAGGGGAATACAAAAAAATACAATAGATTATTATGATATATAGATATATATATCCCACATAACATCACATAGTTTAGAATAAATAACTTACCTTATGACAAAGGCACTTTAACAACTACTTCCCATGCCTTGTTTTGGAGTAGATCCACAGTTGATCTCCTGATCATTTTCATCCTCCTCTTCCTCTTCTTTCCAGTCGCCCAGTTGAACTGGGTTGGGCATGGACATGCTGGAGCCATGGCCACTTTGAATCTGAAAACCTGATGAAACAAGGTCATGAATTGACTGGTGCCGTTAAAATAAAAAAGAAGATTATTTTTTCTTGATTTTATATTCATTTGGTAAATTGATTCTAATAAACAAAACACAAACTAAATGACATTTAACTTGGAAAAATAAGTACTTTTTTTAAAGCAAAAGTGTTTGGCATGACATTAAAAAACAGCTTTAAAAACAGTTCTAAATCGTACACAACTTTCTGATTGATTATGGTAGTTTTAGTTTTTTTTATATGTTCTTTATTAATCTGGTCTGAGGAAAACAACTAATTTCCCCACGTTTCAGACATAATGAACAACAAATACAACTGATTTTGTGTTACTTCCCTTCTCAGAGCAATTTGTTTAGCTATAGTTAGAAAACAGAAGAAACTTGCGAGGATTTCCACAACACAATCAAGTTCCTGTTGTGTGACAAGCCGTCACACTGGCAGTGTCCAAATGAGCTTTCGAGTGATAAAAACAGACACTTATCTGGGGAATTTATGGCAAGTGGGTGTGCGCGGTTGATTTTAACAAGTTCTCACACTTGTCGAGTCTGACAAAAAGTGCGTCGGAGATCAAATTTGGCTTTGTTTTTGACTGTACGTTGGCAAGGCGTTCACAATCAATAACTTCATTTACTGGTGTTTGTGTGCAGATCTCTCAGCGGCACTGAAGCGTTCCACTGTCCCGACGTTCTCTGTGAGTGAGAGCTCTGCTGATGGAGCTGGAGAGACAAACAGCTGTCAGTTTACATCCAAGTGCTAAGCTGGTGGAATACAACGGAGAGAAAATTTACCTCATGCATGTAGATGGCATGGAGACTCATCTCTGCAGAGGCGAACTCTGAGTGCAGCGCGTTGCTCCGGATGTGACAATCGCTGGTAGAAACACAGATTTGATTTTAGACTTTTTTTTTTTGGTTCCAATAAAGGATATTGTAGTTTCTGTGCAATACTAATGTTCTATAAATGTTTTGTCTCAACGTACCTGTTAAGAATCGTGCGATCGCTGCGATACATGGTGGTCTCGGGGTGGATGGAGGAAGGCAGCAGCCCGTGGGAGCGGCCGCGGCTGCTGTGTGGAAGTTGGGAGGTGGATAAGGAGGCCAGGACGCTGGCTGCAGCAGACGCAGCAGTGCTGGATGGGACGAAGCGGTGGTCTCGCCCTTGTAGTCCAGATGCAGTGAGGATAGGGTGGGCCAGGACACTGGCTAAAAGATTTTCAGGCTGGAAGTCACAATGAAAAGGCTAATTATTGCTCTCTTGTAGTGATTTATAAAATAAATACAACATTGTTTTCAACGAATACATTGTTAACAAGTAGCTATGTACAGTATCTATGCTGTAAAAATATTTTTATTATTCATTAGGGCTTGCCATATCAAATGAATGGAGTTTTGTGTAATTCAACATGGCACCTAGATTGCTCAGCAGTTTTAAAGTGCCAGTGACATCAAATTTTTGTAATAAAAAYTAATGTATTTTTGGAAGGATAACACTGATAACATGTTGTAAAAAACCTTCCATGCCACTGAGATGAAGAGTTGTTGAAATATTAGCATGTCAAGTAACAGGAAGTGATGTCAAAGGGGAATGTCTGCACGTGAACAGAGCGTTGCTAAAATGGCTAACAACACAGGCTGTAGAGAAGAATCTGATGCTTCTTTAGATTGTTTTAATCACTATCATAGAGAGGTGAGAAAGAGTCCTAGTTCAAAAAATAATGTTTAAATAAACAAAAACCAGGGAGTTTTCTTTTTCAAGAGTTCCCCTTTGATGTCACTTCCTGTTTCACTTTAGTTGACCCAAGGTCAAAAGAAAATGTGCCAGTTATGCGACATAACGAGTAAAATCATGCCAACTTTCTTAAATATAAATATATGTTCTTTGACCTTTTGTATTTCATGGATAGCCATGTCACAGGCACTTTAAGACGTACAAAGCTGAAATTTGATCAGGTGGTAGCTGAGAGCTAACTTAACACATTCTGCTAGCCGCATGTTTAAGCTAACAGCTAATGCTAATCAAAAAAGGCTCTAATTCAGTCATTTTACGACTTACAAAGCTGAAAACTGGTATAGTAGTAGCCACAACAAGCTTTGACAAATTCTGAATGCTAGGTAAAAATTCAAGATGGCCGCCAAAGCCAATTTGAAACTGCAATAACTCTGCAATTTTAAAACATTTTTAGCTAAAATTTGGTATGGTGGTAGCTAAGAAGGATCTCCATCATATACTGAAGCCAAACGAGCAATCCAAGATGGCCGACATAGCTAAAATGCTAAATTAACCCTACCTCAGCCGTTTTTAGATATTTTTGGCTGAAATTTAGGAAGGTAGTAGATCACAATAATCTCTGATAAACAGTAAAATCAAATCTTTATTTAAATTGAACGGCAAGTGGCAAGCCCTTTTAGTTTCTCCAGGAACTATTCTGGTTGTTAATATGATTTTGATTGTATTTGTGTAAGGTTTTGTACCCCGGTGGCAGACTCGTTGGACTGCAGTGATGTGCAGAGGGGGGCCTCAGAGAGCAGCAGCTGTGTGGAGGGCCCACCCTGCGCGTCGTGTTGCACCTTCTCCTTTAAGTGGCTTATGAACAACGAGCTCTCCTGAGGTGGCTGCCAGTGTGGGTTCTTTATAGTGAAATGCATGAGGGACAACTCGGTCTTGCCGTTCTCAGCCTGTTGGTATATCGATGCCTCCGTCTGGCCTTCTGACATCCACTGCAACCATAATTGCAAACACATGACTGTCAGCCAAACACCAATTACAGCTTTCCAGCAGTCAGCTTCACTGTTTGCTCAGAAAGCTGCTAAATATACTGGGTTTAATGCCACCAAAAACAAGCTAAACAAGTCTTACTGTTGGGTTTCCATGTCGCCTAATGTCCATCTGTGCAAACGAACAGATATCTCCAACTCCAACCACCTCCACAGTAAAGTTCCTGAAGAAGTCGATGATTTCTAGAGACTTATTTCTCAGGAGGAAGATGAGAATGAACGGTGTGACGATGGGACTGAGCAGCTCCTCCAGGATAAACACCTGATTTAAACACAGAGAAGGTTTTAAAACCATTTTCAGTTTCTTTAACGTAACCGCACTCCACTGCTAAAGTTGCTGGCTTGACCCACCGCTTTGTACTGGAAAAGCTGTGCCACCTCGTCGCGGGTCTCGCTCTTGTTAGCGTGGCCCCTCCAGTGGTCTGGCATGTAGTGAATGTGTGCCAGCACACACTGCAGGAGCTGCTCCGGACACCACACCATATGCTCGTCCGGGATGAAAGACCTTGGGTAAAACAGATACAAACATGTTAGAATGGCTTCTTGACATGAAAGGATAATAATAAACAGAGCTGAAAAGTTTAATGTGATGTTTGGGACATAAATGCCATATCAATCAATCAAGCTAGATTTTTTTAACACCATTCATACAATGAAAGTCAAATGCAATTCAAAGTTAGCAAAATAACCTGTTACCCTATGGGCAAAAGCAGGGGTCTGCAACCTTTACGATCAAAATAGCCATTTGTGCTACTTGTCTCACTAATAAAATGTGTCCTGAGCTGCAAAACAAGCTACAACTGTGATTATCAACTGGTGGTCCGTGGGCCTTTTCAGGAACCTTTAGGGCCAGTGGAGATGACATAAAAAAGTAAAAAATACATTGTAAATTTTATTGGTTATTATTATTTTTACACATCAGGACAAATGAAAAGACCATATTCATGTAAACAAGAAAAATACTGTATATAGTTTTTACCAAATTTCTTAAAAACTAGTACAGCTGAATTATTCAGGTATTTTTTTTAAATTCTTCTTATTATGTAGTCTTCAAATTATTTAAAGGTTATTCTGATGATTTGAGAGAAAGATCATAGAAAGATGTTAAATTATTTAAGTAAACAACAGGCTAGCATGTGCTAACATGTTTTACTTTCTGTATTAGTAGTATTATTCACATATTTACATACAAATTTATTTCTGTTTTGAGTATAAAAAACAAAAACAAAAAAAAATAATTCTGTTATGTTTGGTCACATTTCAAAGAGCCACATGTGGCCCCAGAGCCACAGGTTGCAGGCCTTTGCGCTAAAGCTATCCTATGTATAGTAAAAGCCAGACACTCTACTTCCATACATTTTAAGCCGATTCTCATTAGTTTTAAAGACAAATGCTGCTGTAAGAACTCACCTGGTAATAGTAATAACCACTCCTAGAACAGTGATAGCGGTCAGAATGTGCTGCACCGTGAGAACGTCCTCGTCGTAAACGGTCAGCGCGATAAGAACGGCCAACACCGACCCCGAGAAGAAGGCCACGTTCTTGGCCAGCACGGTTAGCAGCGGCGACGTGAAGGAGTTCATGTATTTGGAGGTGGGCTTGTAGCCGCGACCCAAGCGCCCATGCAGCTCGTGGTTCAGCTCGTTGAAGTGACGCAGGTACAGGCGCCCGTACAGGGACCAGCGGCGCGCGCCCAGGCTCCCGGGCTCCCTGCGGATCACTTCCGTGTAGCTGAAGAAGGCGTAGAGCACCTGCCACACCAGGATGAAAGGACACAGCAGCAAGTTGGCCAAACCGATGAGCAGGATGACCCTGCTCAGCTGCTGGGCCAGCTCCAGGCGGTTGCCGCTGCGCTTGTACTTGGGATGCAGGTTCCACTTGTTTTGAAACAAGGAGCCGGGGCCCCAGAAAAGAATGAGCTCAAAGTTGTACTTCAAGCCCTGGGTCAAGAAGACCACATTGCCCAGGAGGGGGAGCTGCAGCTGCACCGGCAGCAGAGATTTATTTATCATGGCCACCATGTAGTTCTTAAAACGAAGAATACGATGATAGATATCGAGTTCTGTCAGCTCCTTCTTATGAATGCACATTTGCTGTTCTCTTTGCAGACTGATGAGTCGGTCCTGGACTTCCTGCCATGTGAAGTTGCATAGTTCATCCTGGCAAGAGGAAAGGAGCACAAAAATCAACTCACGCTGCAAAACTGGATGAAAAAACTACTTAAAACAAAACATCGAGGCTTGTACCGTAAAAAAAATTAAGCAAATTATTAATTATAAGACTTATTTCTGTTGTAGCATACGTTTTAAACAGGCCAGTACATGCACTTACCATATTGATCTTCAGTGCTTTGATGTAGAACTGCCTGATCTCCCAGAAGCTCAAAAGATTGCAAAAGACCTTTACAAGGCGATAGATCCAGAAGATGGCTGCCATGATGAGAAGGAAGATGATCCAGCTGTTCTCTTGTATCCTGAAAAAAAAGAGAAAAAAAAACTTTTTTCATACATTTGCTGACTTCATATAACAATTATGTTTTCAGTTTTTTTATTCAAATATTAGTGGGTATGTGATATTTTAAAACACACAACTCTTTGTCAAACAAAGAAGCCTGAAATAAATAATAATAATGATAATGATAATAATAATAATAATAATAATAAACCTAAAAGCCTCAGCTTAGACCCACTTTTTCAGCCAATCAGGACTGTGCAAAATCATTGGATTATCACTTAGGGACGACGTGCTGTTGGCTGCGAAGTAAGCTGCAAGCACAGCTGTTTCTGTTGCTTTTGTGTTCTCCAAATTCTCATTATCCTTTACTTTGCATCAAGTGAGTCATGCCAAGTTAAATCTGTGGTCAAGATTTGGTGTAAAATGACAAACAGCAACAACAAGAATTCAGAGGCATGCAAAGGATACCATTTCCACTTAAAACACTAATTTTATACAATTTAACCAATAAAACTGTTGTTTACAGATTTAAGGTGGGGTAGGGCTGCTTGACTCAACCATGGATGTACTAACATAAGTTTATTTTTTCCATTAATGTTCTGTCATTTATCATTAAGTCCCTATCAGAGGGAAATAAACTCTAATATTGTCTTCTATATCTGCCTAAATGTGAAATTAGATATGAGCTATGAAGAGGACAGAGAGACTCCAGACTGTAGGACAAGCTGTTCCCAAATTAGAATTCCAAGCGGGTGAACGTCACTGACTTTGATACAAACAACTTTTGAGTCACAGTCAGAATAAAAGCTCAAACTGGCAATGAGAGGTCTGTGGCTCAGGCTGTGAAAAGGAAAACAAGCCAAGCAGAGAACGTATAAGAAAAAAAAGGTAAACACGGGTWTGTGTTTGAGGTGGTGGAAGGTTGTTCTTTGTAGCGAGGTTTTCAAGTCAGGTGCTTGTCGGCTCGTCAGGATCGGAGTTGGCCAGTCACACCGCCCCAAAACTATCAGTTACACTGGCTCGCTCTCTAAAGCCGGCCTGAGCGGCGTACACAAACATCTTCCTCCAAGAAACCACGAGCAGGGAGAATGTTTCAACTAGAAACGGAAAACGTTGAAATAAACAACACAGGAAGCATTTTAAAAGCAACGATTTGATTTCTCTATATAAAACAGAACAAATCCATCATGTCTATTCAAGTTTAACTAACATTGTGCAACGTTTCATTTAATTCTAGGCATTTTTATTGGCTACCAGAAACGAGTTGCTGCTACTCGCGCTGAGACTGCACCGGGAAGGAGTTCTGAATGAAAAACAAAAAACCAAACTAGACAGAAAACTCTTTCACGCAACATTTAGAAGCTGAACCCAATGCCTTCTTCCAGCATTGGTGTCAGGTGTGAATTGACCAAGATCAAATGGAGGGGGTGGGGTTAAAGTTAACCCATCAAATACTCCCCCTGGGAGCCAGAAAAGGAGGGAGTGACAACTTGGAGAAGTAGTGGGCAGCGTTTGTAGCGCTCCGGTCCAACAAACAGCTATGCTGTCATCCTGTTTGCTCTGTATTGCTGGCTCTATGTGTGCAGGCACACATTGTCACAAGACTTGGCCAAAATGATTGACTCAAAGTGTGGATGACATCTTTACTGTCGTATTGAGAAAAGGGCTTGATTTTCCCTTCTTTAATATACTGTATGACTTCATAGCTCCTTTATCTGCTTTACAGCAACAATTTACCAGGACTTAAAAAGCTATTTCCAAACATTACAGGCAAATGTAATAAAAGCATTGTTTTAACCCAGAATCCCAACGGGTTTCAGCTAATTAGGGTTCTGCTCCATATTCCCACCTCGTGAATGTGACGGTATCTTGCAGTGTGTTGCCACATTTACTGCAATCCTAAAAATTCTCCCTTTGTATCACTATATGAGGCTGGGCAGCTGTGTAAAGTCTGACAAATTAAATCTCTCTCTCTCTCTCTCTCTCTCTCTCTCTCTCTGAAGGCCCGTCTCTAATCCTAGTCTAAAGCTGAGAACAAAGCATTTCATCATACTGGCTGAAATGTGAGAACAAGAACATATCACTTTCTGTAAATGTACCAGTTTCAGATGACTCAAGTATATTTTTCACCCACAAAAAAATTTAAAAAATGCAACTCCAAAAGCCTGAGGTGCCTGTAGATTTAAACTGAGCGTCTTTACCTCTGGGTGCACTGCTGGCTTGGTAAGAGAGCGTCTGGCAAAGTGACTTTGTTTCTGTCCAGAGGGTTTTGGCCTTGTCCCGTGTGGTTGACTGCTCGGTTGGCAAACAGAACATCATACTCCACACAGTTGACAAGGAATGTAGTGAACGTAACAACAAACAAAAACTGGCTGAAAATGAGAGGGGAAAAAGAAGAATAGCTTTTAAAATCAATGACAGGAAAATTATAAACTGCCAATAAAAGCACGACCAACAACAAGTGAKCTTAATGCATAAAAACTAGTAATTACTAAATATGAAACTAATTGTTTATAGACTTTAGAGTTATTTTTGTAAATAGTTAGCTGAAAGGACCAAAAAAAATTTTGTTGTGCTAATGCATAATCATAAAGTTTATTGATTCTKACTAGTTACAAGACAAACAGTACACTCTAACAAGTGATTAATGCACTGTAGAGAGGGAAAGGAAAAACAACTGTAACTCACTTGCATATCTTCACAAAATGTTTTGAGTTTTTCACAATTTTTTTAATTTTTACTGATTTTTATCTGAAATTATACCAATAAGTGAGTACAAAACAGTACCTTAAACTGACACAGTGAGCTGAAAAGGCACAAGCAAATTAAACCATAACAACCAAATGATAGAATATTTCCCCTAAAATGGGAATTATTTTCATTGAGTTTTATATGTAACTGCTGTTGATAATTTTAGAAGTAAGCTCGTTCTTGCTTAACTGTGCCTCTGGCACAGATTATGACCACATGACAAACTAACAGTGTCATAATTGTGGTCCAAGCCTGGATAAAAACAAGCATCCTCTTTTAGTGTGATACCATATGTCGTGACGCAATCTGAAAGTGTCAAAACAACTTAATACTTACACAAGTTCAAAGAATTCTGATAACATCATACAGGCAAAGCCATTTTTTTGATGAAAATGATAGATGTGGACAGCATGGTTAAGGAAYATGTCAATTAGGATCAGAACATAAAAACACATTTAGGCACTGTGATGTGATGACAATTTACCAATAGTCTCTGCAGCATTACTGTAAACAGATTAAGACACAAAGAGGTGTAAGGAAATACAAGTTGAATGACAACTAAATTATCAAAGACATAAAATAGTTCTTAATGAGAGTGAAGATTCTCTAACCCTTAAATTTTTAAGCACATAAAGTACTGTTAAAGTACCTAAACAGAGCTTTAAAATAGAATCAGAATAAGCAAATAACCTACACRTGCAAAATACAATATGGTCGATTTCAGTCATTTCAGTTCAGGCAGCTTAATCTTCTGTAAATAAGGCTGGGGAACCTGTACAGACTTAGGTTATGAGGGTGCTTSTTTCGCAATGTCAGTGGTAAACATTTTGCAATTCAGTGTTTAAGATGTGCACACTGACARGCACCAAGTTATAAAAGGATATTCTTGTGAAGAAGTTATCCAAGTTCTTGATATGGTGCCATGAGTCTGTAATGAAAAAGAGGATAATAAATTTCTATTCATGACATTTTTGCACATTTAACACGTTCAAACGACTGTTTAACAGCATTTACAAAGTAGAAAATGACAARGTACAAGAATATAATCTGCAGAAACATGTTTACCTTTTAAGCTTTCAGGTACATGCAGCAGTAAGTTTTCCTCTCCTGGCGGGGAGTCTTCCTCGAAGTCCTCAATCCTCTGATACTCCTGATAGGCTTCAAAGTTAGCCATTGTGCTTCATATTCTTCATTCACTCAGAACTGACAAGCTTCTTGTAGTAAAGACTATACAAAAGTAATCAAAAATGACGACTTACGCTACATTCTATAGACACTTGGCACTCGAAAACAGCTAAAAATGTGTTGAGGTAGTTAGCATCTGGATGCTAACCAGCTAATCTGACGGACAGCGCTTGTGTAACCTTACATGATGCGTAAAAAAAAATACAACCGAGTAACATTTCAGTCCACTGAGCTTCGGTAAGTTTACTAGTGAATGTYGATCACTTTTCATAAGAGATGTCTTCCAAAGCCGAGAGTCTGGAAGCCGGTTAGCTCGTGGATGATTCAGCCTCTGGTGTAGTCAGGGTGACACGGTTTGTTTTGTTCCCGACTTGCTTCTCTCCATGATCTTGACTCTTACTTCCTTCTCTTGTCTTCACCGGAAATCGTTTAACCTTCCTTGTGTTGTTTTAGTGATGACCCACGGATCAAGAGTCTGTTAGTTCGTCGATTTCCAAAAATACAGACCACACTATTGAGCGTGGCCACTGTTTTTGTCTTTAACAAACAAATGTCAACAAAACACCAGGGGTGCGTCACTTCCGTTCAGGATTTGCTTCATTTCCGGAAGTCGATTGTAGTTTTTCTTATAATCTCTGTAAAGATGCACACCAATCACCTAAAGTCTATTATTACGATTCTCATTGTTATTATATTATTATATCAGTACTTAAATTAAATTAAATTAAATTAAATTAAATTAAATTAAATTAAATTAAATTTAATTTAATTTAATTTAATTTATTAAATTTAATTCAATTTGATTTAATTTTTATTTTGCTGCCACAAATTATGCTTTAAAGTAAATTCAACAACCTCCAGTATCTTGCGTGGGAACACAACAAAAGTAGGGTGAGGGGAAAAATATCTGTACTCAGGATGGTCAATGAAGCTTTTCTAAAGCACTGAATCTTGTTTTGGGGGAAAAAAAGGTTATAGAAGCTTTTTAATGTAGTCATATTTAGCATCATCTCTTGATCAAAAAGCATAGCATAACAACATGAAATAAACAGCTTCCTCTCTGGATTTGTTGTTTAATAATTTGAGATATTTCTGTCTGATTTCAGGTTGTTATTGTGGTGCTTAGAACATGCATTTTCTATAGGTAGAAATCTAATGCTAAAGTGGTTTGACAAACAAAATATTTTTATGAATAAATCTTTACAAGGGCAGAATCAGAGAGGTGGTCACCCCTGGTACCTGACTGGCCACACCAGGTGCTACCCTTGACAAGTGGGTGGGGATCTGTCTGGTTCAGCTTGTTATATTTTGTGCAAATTTGCCACCAAAACACCACAGATCTAATGATTTATTTCCTCATGCACCGGAACTTCAGCTTCAAATGATCAATCATTGCTCGATAACGAAACAAGCCTTACTTATGAAACCAATTTCAATTTTGTCATCATGACCTTTAATTATGCTAAATGAGGTTCATAGACTCTGAGATGGAGTTGTTTTTCTTCTGCAGTTTTTCTGAGGATACCATGATTTGAACTTGGGTGAAATTGATGGAACGTCCACTCCTCGGAATGTTTGTCTCAAATGTTTTTTCTTCTTCTGGGAAATAATCACTCCCACTTCAGCACGTTTATATATATATATAT